AAGGCTACCAGTCCGCGCTTAACTTGACCGCTGTGACGCTGTCGTATGGTGTGTACTCATCCACGGTTGACGCCTAGGCTAATCGTGGACTGGCATTCCTTCCACGGTTGACTGTTACGCCTCCGAGCATTTGCATAGTGTTCCAAGATTCGGCACTATGTGCATACGTCGGTTTTGCTGCGCGTAGCTATAAAAGTAGAAGATCAAAGTCTTCACCCTCACTGCCGCTGCACGACGTGCCAGTGCTACTGGAGTGACAATTACACTTGGTATTTTTGCAGATTTGGAAGAGTTGCCCATCTTTTGTCTGCCGGCTGCAGTCCTTGCCAGCATCTTTCTCAGTCTGGATTTCATTTCTCAGATACGAATCAGTCAGTAAGTGATATTCTCTGGTTAAACGTTTAAATTTTTAAGCCAGCAGAAGCATTCTCATGCTGGGAATTCACTCCGAATCGTTACCGATTGATCCGATACCAAAATACATATGATAAATATTATGTATAGATTACGCACAATAAACTATTGTATATTTAGCCCCGACAGTTTTGTGAGGCCGAGAGCAGATGAAGCAGCTTTAATACAGCGAAGCACTGCCAGTTCACACATATGCCGTAATTATGAATTTGCACCTCCCACCATAATAAGGCCCCCACCTCCGTAATAAGCCCCCCTCCCATAACCTGTTTTTAAAAATAGCGCATCCCCGCGAATTTACCGCCCAGGGGCCGTTATTAAATGATAAGCGCCACAAAATGATAGATATACTGCAAACTGCCTCATAATAATTGTTATGATTTAATGATCAAACAGCCAACAGTCACAAAAATAATGTGGTGCGATGCTTCAGAATGTTGCTGTAAGGTTGTGAAATTGCAAATACCGGTATCTACTGCGTTCAGTACCAATAGAACAGGATGCGCAGTTGTTTGAAAAATAGCGGCCCCTTCCGAAAAATGCTGTTTGAAAAATAGTACTACCCCCCGAAGTAACGCCCCCTCCCTAAAATAAGCCCCCCTCCTCCAGGACGTTTGAACTATTCGCACCCCAGGGTCGCAAATTCGTAGTTTACCTTAATTTTTGCACTGTGTCGTTTACAGGGTTTGCGCGTTCTGGAGGCTGATTTCGCACGACTACGTCCGGAATCGCTTTGTTATTTTACTATCTCTTCAGTATTCACAACGGAAGACTGGGATGGTTCGATACACATTGCATTTGACTCGTTCACAAACTGCAAACTCGAAGCAATGCTCGAACGAGCCGTTTCCCAGGAAACCCGTGCGCTGGCGTTGGTAGACGAAAGAACGGCTGATGACAGAGAACGGGACAAAGACAGATGGGATTTCACAATGAAAATTTGGAAGATTTACTATTTCCTGAGGGACAAATGCTTTCGCCTGCCGCTGCTTATTACGAAGAATGGCTATGAAAGCGCCATGGCGGGCAGCAGTTCTTTTATGTTTCTGGGACCAGACGAGCGGAATGGGCAGTTTAAATTCAATAATCTGTCGCGTTGGATGACCGTGTGTGAGACGATGGTGCTGATCAACTACAACGCGTCCGATGGTACCGGCGACAGGTCTTTGTTGCTCATGCTCTTCCACATGGCCGGACTGACGGGACCGGAAAGTGTCGATGCGCTAATGCGGAGCAGCGGTGAAGGGCGCTTAGATCCCGTCGCTAAATTTTGGGTCGGCAAAGGGCTTGCTCAGTCCTTTTTGGAAGTCCTTTAAAAGGGCTTCCAGCTATAGGCATATCATAAGGCAAAAGCTCCTTAAGTTCCGAATAAAAGGAGCTTATAAGCGCCGTCAACAATTGCCCATCACCAAGGCTGCGTAAGGGCTTAGAAATCTGGACACAAAAAGGTCTTTACATGACCTTATGTGAGAGCTTTCCTTTTTTCATTGGTTTCTGAATCTCCAATTGCAAATTTAATAAAGAATTCTCGAATAAATCCTATTGGTTAATCCGAGCCATTGAAAAGCGCTTTTACAATATGTCTGTAAAATATTTACGAAAAAGGTTGCAAATTTTCATCGATTAAATAAAACGGAAGTCGGTTGCATTAACAATCCTAAACAGTTTATTGTTGATGATCAGGTGCGTCGATTGCAATGTGTGTAATATCAAACAGGAAAATTTGACAAAATGAATGAATGATTCTAACAACACGACGTGGAACGGAAGCCACAAACACACGAAGTTAAATTCCCAGCAAAAAAGCAGTGTCGAAAAATTCGCTGTAATAACACAATTATTAGGTACATTGTATGCATGCAAATTAATCAATGAAATACAGGAAAAAAATTATGGAGTGCTTCAGTAACATGAATCCATGTTTACAATGACAGCCATTGAAAATGTTAAGCCGAATTAGGACTAATATTTCCCGTGGCTTTCGCGGCATTTTCAGCGGCTTCCAGGCGCTTTTTATGCTCATTCAGTACCACATCAAGATGGCCGACAACGCTGTCTTGGAATTTCTTTTCATCAGTTCCGCCAGGAATTTTCCGGTACACTGCCCATTGGCCATACAGCTCTAAACAAAACCTTATAAATTAACTGAATTTAAACCCTAATTGTGAAACTTTATCACTTGGTACCCACCTCGTAACTGACCAACTCTTACTGGATCCAAAACACTCGTTCGAAATTTGCTCATTTTGACACCGCGATCAGACCAGGCACACGTGCGGCATTCCTCCTCACTAAAAAGGCGTTTCACACCAGCTCGAATAGCGCTACCGGCGTTCCCTTTTGATTTCATGGCTTCCTGTAAAACAATAGATTTGAATACCGCAAATCAGCCCCACCAAGCCCGACCGCACTAATAAATTATTCTATTTACTGAATTGTTATTTAAAATACGTACCAATGCCATTTGCAGTGGCGTTGGAGCGACTGGAGTCGTCTCGTGCGGTCGGGAGCGCAGTTCATTAATCTGTCGAAAGTGACACTTAAGCTATGTTTTGCTAAATACTGCTAAATGTAAAGATTTGAGATACCGTATCCTCCAGCAGTTGAATGCGTTTGTCCTTATCCTGCGCTAACGCCACGAACTCCGCCTTCAGGTCTTTGGTGGCTGAATCGACGGCGGTTTTTATCTAGGATCAAAACAGTGAACCAAAAACAAATTATTTGGTAAAAAATGATTCGGTAAAAAATGAATAGCATTACCATGTTCTGCAGATTGTAAGGGTCGAACCAGTTCATTGCCGGCATCGGTAATGGCCAGGAAGAAACCGTTGACGCTGGCGCAACAGCCGCCGGAAGTGCACTTTCAGTTGTCGGCAAATTAGTGCCGCCGATCATCCCATTAACAAGTGGAGACAGTGCGGAATTTCCAGAGGGCGGTGCGTTAATAGTTTCGCCATACTAAAACAGAAACGGATCTGTTTTATAACAGCAATCTAAATATAGCGGTATAACGATGAAATAAAATGTTCGACTTACAGCCGATGTAGAGTGAAGCACACTGTTTGCCGACTTCAAAACGTCAATGGTTTTCCCTGTAATAACGCTCTTGTCATAATTCAGTTTCAAAGAAAGAAAAATCTTTGCTCGATATCGATCTGATCAGTTGTTGGGAAAACTGTTTTGCTTTGTAGGCCATTACAGTGATGCTTTATTTGGAGTCTTGTTCGTGTAAAGGACTTTCAAAGGCCTTGCACAGGCCAAAAGTAGAGAAAAATGTAATTGAGCCAGGGCCGGAGGGGTGAGGCAATTAATTTTATGGCTAACACATGCTTTGACCAAAAGTATTTAGGGAGCTTTGTGTTTTCGCCTAGACGCTGTTCCAGCAGGTCATAAATATGTGAAACGTAAAAAGCACGCGAAAAAGTACGCGCGTATTGTAAGACCGAGTCTAAAAACAACAGCGATTAAAACAACAGCGTGACCTTTAACCATCAAGTAATAGTAATTTGCCCAATTTAACATTACTAATAATTTTCATAGTACAGTGCAATCTGACTTCATTACAGTCACAAGTTTCCTATAAGAGCAAAAAATTTGTACTGAATGCACAGCCTCAGCCGACTACGGAAATAGGCGGCCTCTGACTTATCTTAGTAAAGTTTGCTTCTGTAGTGTGCTATCCAATATTCGTATTCTCTACGATAATTATAGATATTTGATTCACGTTTATGCCTCCAAAGAGAAGATTAAGCACGGCGGCTTCGCCCCTTCCCGAGAGAGATTATGTATTTGCTGATGTAACCATCCCTTTTCCCTGCAAGTCTGTGTATCGGTATCTGCAAGGCTAAGACAGCGGGCCATGCGTAACAGTATTCAGTGTGATTTGGGAAAACGTGTAATATACAGAAAAACCGCATGAGCTAATTCTTAAAATTTTTTTTGTCGTGGGTAAAGCATAAAACAATTTTTATATTATATTTTATTATGTGAGATTGCTTGCTAGTTCAGTTTTTCGTAATTTTTGTACTCGTAGCAAGGTGGATAATAATCGTAGTATCTAAAAGTACGTTAACATTCGGATGTACCTACACAGCATAAAGCGCAAGTGTTTTGTCTGACCGCAAATTCTAATTATCCCTTGCTCTCGCTGATTTACATTAATTCTTTCAGTGATGGCCTGTGCAAGGCCGTTTACAGTCCTTTATAAAAATGTATCCTTTATGTCAAGTGCCTTCTACAGAAAAAGATTGCCTTGCAGTCATATGATAAAGCAACTAGTCCAATGAAACAATTACTCTAATACTCTGCCCACTACTCTGCTCATTGTTAGCAGTACTTTAAAGGTCGATACTGAAAATCCGCTGTATTCTATATTTTATAATTATTGTTAATGGTACAAAAAAGCACGTTCTTCAAGCGAAGGCAAAATGTGTGCCACATCCTGTATTGCATCCTTTCGTACAAGAAACACAGTCATAAAATTGTTGCCAAGGAGTATTTAATTACTGTACTAAAGTCGCGAAAAGCATTCGCTGATGAACTGTAGTAGCACATCGTGAAATTGCATAAAAGCTAATATTAAATTATTTCTGAAATTTGTGTAAAATTGTGGCTCTAATATTTGTGTACACGAGGTCTTTTTACGCTCAAACCTCACGATGGCTAAAAAAACGAAGAAGCGACAGAAAACAGGAGCACAGCCCGCGGCACAGCCAGCAGCGCAGCCAGCAGAACAGGCAGCCGAACTCCCTGCGGGACCGCCCAACCAGTATGTTCTGGCGGATGGCAACATGCCGTTTCCTTGCCAAGCCGTTTATCGGTACGATCCTTAACTAGCTGAACAACAGCTACTTATCAAATATTTTAATTTATTGATAATTGTTGATAATATTTTAATTGTTGATAATATTTTAATTTATTGATAATTTATTTTGACTAATCTACTTAAATTTACTTAAATTTTTTTATTATTGTTTATTCATGGTTATTTATTTATTATTATTTCTTTAAATTCTTTCCCTTATTAATTTTTATTACTTCTTTTATTTAGCCGAATCATCAACGGGAGAGAAGTTGTGTTGGTACAGTGGCAGCCAACAGTCGTGGACATTGCACAGTATTATGCAGAGAACGGATGGTTGCCTCCTTTGTATGATGACACCCAACATCATAACTTACCAGGTATAAAAAATTAAACGAGATTTTTTATTTTTTGTATTCGATCATCAATAATAAGAGTTCACGTTTTCTAATTGAAATTTTTTGGTTTACTGTTTGCATACGGTCAACATTAATTTTGTATGACATAATTATATAGTACCTACAAGCAAGTATCTTATGTATTCTCGCTTAAGATTAATACTTTAATACGTCGCCTTTTTATTGTCGAATATATCGTAATCTTCTGTGCGTATAATATTATTCCACAAGGAAGTTTAATTATTATTGCTTAACCGCTGTTAACAAAAATTTCACAGTAGTTTTGGAAACAATCACTCATTAAGCATTGATCGAAACAGCTAGGCGGCCTACTATAGGTGGCCTATACTTTAATTACTTTGCATCACTGTGCAATAAACACTTTTTCGAGTGCTCTCTCCCCTTCTTTTACTTAAGACCTGATATAATTATCATGAAGAAAACGTCAGTATATGTGTAGTCAGTGCAATACGCAAGTCCGGCTTAGGCACACGTGAACTTTATAAACGAATCGTATTACCGTGCAATGTATTACCGTGTATTGCACGGTAACACGATTTTTCGAAGTTCACCATTTAATATTTTTCCGCCCGGTCGGGCTCGGTCGGGCTTATATCAAACAACGGCAGGGGCCGGTGAAGTTTTGAATACTTACAGTACGAATACCACAGTCTTTGTAATTAACATACTTGTAAACGATTAAATAAACTTTTACTGTAATAAATCTTTTTGGTTCTATACAGGAACCTACGATTTGAACGAGCACCACGCGCGAATCACCAACGCTATAAATATTGTGCGGTCTCATCACAACCGCGATTTCTACAAGTGCCCGTGGTGCACTGCATATGATGCTGTTCCACGGATGAAGGACACCGTGAATAAGCATATGCACGGTCAGTCGACTGGAGAGTTACAGAACCAGCGTGAACCGGCTTGCCGAAACCGGCCTCGAGATACTCCTTCCACAGGAAGTGACCGGATCCAGCCTGTTTTTGTTCGTCACAGAGAGATATCTATCGCCGAAATAGCGGATCAGCTTCGCAGAGGTTGTAACTAGCAAGCTTGTTCGGCAGATTACAATCAAAGCTTCATGACGACACTCGTTCAATTGATTAATAAATGTCAACTTTTGCTCGTGCTGTTTGTGAACATTTCCGAAGCCACGAAGTCCTAAGAAACTGAGAATGGTTAAAAAACTAATTTTCAAGAAATCCCTACGAATCAACACTGTTCCCTCTTAGTCTGCACTTGTCGAAATTTTGTACAGTACGAGTAGAGCGGTTAAATCATGCGGGTTTGATGCTCTGCTGCAGCTATGAAAAATGGAGCCGGATCCGTTTTAAACGGAAGTAATCTGCTTGCATGCGGCGCTGCATAATTCTGGAGATTGAAAATGTGTGAGCCAGCACTTAATATAATATGTTCATAATAATTTGCAACAGAGCGAATCAGATGTAATAGAAAATGTGCAGTACTTTTACGAGTACTTACGAGTACAATACAAGCACAAATAATAATGACGGTGTATATTAAACACTGCATCAATGTGCCGCATGTGCTGAAGGCGGGTAAGTTCAGAAGACGGAGCTCTTTGAGCTGTTATCTTGGGAACGTGCCGTATGATTGTTTTGACCAATCCGGAGCGCAGTGTGATGACAAATCTTACTAACGGCATCTGCTACGCTTTATGCACACAAAACCTAGCGGCTTTTTCATGACACGTGAATGTTTTTGTAAAAATTGTTGGTAATTGTTGTTACCGCGCTCAGCATGCTTCAATTTTTCTCCTTGTTTGTAGTTTGCTTGACCTTTTTATACTGTATCAACTATAGGCGTGTAATGCCCGCGATTCGGAAGTCCTCGATTCGGACCAGAAAACAACGGACATCTTCAGTCAGGATCACTTCAAATTTGCGAAGGTGCGTGCAACAGCGTTGTTTCCCTGTCACCTAAATTTAACTGTACTAAACCATATTAATATTTTTTCCTTTACTGTTTAACGCACTGCTGCTGATGCTTGAAAAACTTGTTCAGTTCTAGTAAACCCGTGCGGTTTACATATCTACTGTTTTAATATTAACTGCACGCAGTAACAATGAATTAAATTAGCTTAACGTACGGCCATCGCATATAATAACCCTGCCAAACTAATTCCTCGTACTACTGATATCTTTACGTTGTGGCTAAACAGCGATTTATGTAAAGCTATGCTATTAAGAATATATGTATGCCAGGGAAACTGCAGCAAAGGCACAGGTAGCACATACCGTGCATAGCATGTACTTCGTAACCGCATTGAAGCTGTGATTAAAAACCACGGCGCCAGAATCAGTACAAATTTTGGATTTTTTAAAAACCAATAAAACAGAAATTTAAAAGATTTTATTTTAAGGCGGTGTAGTTTTAAGAGATTTTATTGTTATCGGTTGTAGGTACACGATCTATGAATTAATTTACCTCATAATAAGTGATTAATGGATGTACTTTGAATAGTAAGTTAATGTTGAATTTTATGTGTTCTACTGTACATGGTTTACTGTAAATAAAGGCTTTACGTAATACACACCGCATTTACCGTCGATCTAATAGCAGCGCTTTACATGAAACGCTGTACAGCCACAACGTAAACCCCTAGCTGGCTGACATCAGAAGTACGAGGAATTAGTTCCGCAAGCTTACTTTCGCCCTTTCTATATCATTCCGCTGTTCAACAGGCTCCTTAATCGCATCTCACCTATAGTAATGGATCTCCCGCAAGCTGTACTTCAACAACGGCCGGAGGGTATGACCCTCGTGGAAGCTTTGTTAGCCCACCTTGGCAGACAAGCCATACAGAACCCACAGAGGCTCAGGACCAAGGCTGACATCACTAAGAGAGATCTGTATGCGACCCTTGCCGTCGTGCCAGATGCCGTTTGTTTTTGTGGGTCTTATCACATTCTCTACCGTGAATGCGGATGTGTCGGCAAGGACTTCACCATTACCTGTGGATCGAATTTAAGCGCACGTAAAAACGAAATCTTCTGCGAGAAAGGCGCCGCGTTGTATACAGTGCAGCATCTGAAACTGACCGGTAGCTGTGACAGTTGTCAGTGGGCGCTAGGTGTTCAGCAGGAACCAGGTAACGAAGCGCAGCAGCCACAGAATCCTAATGCACCACAGGACCCTAATGCACCACAGGACGTCCCTATTGCAGCACAGGACCACAACTAGAATTGCTAAATCTTGTCAATGGGCGCTGGCTATCCCAGCGAAGGAGCCGAACTGTACATGTTAAATCTTTAATTGGCAATAATTTCGTGATGTGTTTTTTGTTTCAGCAATTTTTTTATTGAATGAAAATTTTGATGATGTAACCCTTTGTTTTTTATGCAAAAAAAATTGCGAGTATTCTTCGAAGCTAAACGTTCTTAATTTTTTCATTTCAGCAGTCACCTACATAATAATAAATACTATTCGCGGACAAGGGTGCGATAGTACAGTATGTGCAACGATAGTATGTACAAAAAACGCCTGTCGTATGAAGAATAATGCTTATTAAAAATCTAAAAGAAGATGCTAAGAAGTTTTTAATTTCCGGCAGATCAGTCTTTTCCTCGAGTAATAACACGGCTGCTGCCTTGCAACGCCTCCATGGTCGCTTTTTGGGGAGAAAATATATGCTGACCAAACTGTGAATTAGGTTATCTGATGTCACAGCATGATCGATTAGCAGATCGAGTACAGATGTACGTGCCTAAAAATCGATCTCACATCGAGATATTACAATATTATAATTGATAGAAAATGCCGGACCCAGAATAACCGAAAACTCGCAAACATATTGCATAATACACTTGCAGTACATGTAATTGGCAATTACACGTACGTCGAGAGATGGGCACAAAGATACATTTCATTGCTAGACAGGCTGTATGTCTTCTCCAGGTCTAAATGTGCCGTTCTAAATTAATGTTTTTACCTTGACCTTTAATAAGTATCACATATAAGTACAAACTGAGTACTAAGAAAGCGAAATTTATAACAAAAACAACTTCTTCAATGCTCCCCTGCTCTGGTTTTACACCTAATTGTATATATACTTTCGAGGTATATCTGAGTGAGTTTGTTAGAAATACCACTTCGTACAACGTAAGATCGGTTAAACCACTGAAACGTTTTGAAACTGCAAGGTTTGTCAGTTCAGAGGAGTCGTTATTACCAAGGTTCAATTAGGGTGAGACCGCCATGCGTGTTAAACATCATCCTCCAGTTATGAAAATACGACATTTCTCATCCCTCCCGTTCACGTACACTGTAGACGTACATGTGCCTTTTCTTATATAAAAACATAAAAAAGGAACGGAACAGAAAGAGAGGGTGGGAATAAGATGTTTGACAAGACTCTTATAATGCCAATTTGAAAAAGAGGATGCAGATCATAATTACTCCAAACCAGCATAAATACGTTAGCATAATGTGCTTACCTAACTACAAGCCGGTCCGGAGATTGAACACGTAAAGACACAGCTATTAAATACTGAGCGCTCTGTAAGCGCTTTAAACGATGGCCACTGCACTACATTCGGCGTAACTTATAATAAGGCTGTTTCATTTCGTGCTTATTATCAGGACCGGCTGGGCACTTTCCCTTTACAGCGCCACAATGGCGGCGTTGATAGTGGGCAGTGTATCCGGGACTAACTTTTTGAGCGCTATCTGCAGCCCGCCATGCATTGTCGCACTGTGGAATATTGTTTAACTATACTGTACCGACAGTAGAGAAATAAAATTAATTCGACACTTTACCAATGTACTGTAGCCAAGGCACCGGTTCAAACAATAAAGCAGCGAACTAATAACTTAATAATACAGCATAAAAAATTTATTTATAACTTCAGCCGTTTCTGAACGAGATTTATAACTGAAGTTGTTACGCAGTTCTACACTTTGTGTAAAAAGTATGTGTGTTTGGCTATCTACTAAAATTTTTGAAAAGTAGTTCGTTGTTCCGTCGAATAAATATGAATTTTCGAAAACTGCCCACACTTGGCTGAAAAGCCCTCTGTATGTTTACAAGCTTAACGCGGGAACGGCAACGGTTAAACCGGAAATCGACCTTTACCGGATATTGTTATTCAGGAAGCAAAATTCGATAAAACTTTAATTTAATTTTATTGTTTGTGCGGAATGCGGATACTCAAAGGTCACCCGGCCGTGAACGCAACCAGTGCCCGCGTTACCGGTGCAGGCAACCATAATGTTAAAAAATTATGGAAGTAAAGCTTCTAATGCAAATGACGTACCGAGTTCCGATGAGCTATCCTCAACGCGGGCAGGAGATGGAAAGGGCACAGTTTCCACGGTTGCGGGAGATGGTACACTTTCCATGGCTTTCGGTACTTCCGCAGCCTCTTTCAACGGATCCACGCCCTTTGTTTCCCACACAACCATTGCTTTCATGCCTTTCTTGATGTACGTATCAGGATTTGCTTCGACTTTTGATTTCAGTTCCACTTTCTCAACCCCTGTTGCCAGCGACCTTTAGTTTTTTATTTTTGCAAAAAATCCATAATGTATTTAAGTATTTGACGTAAAGTATGAGCCGTAATAAAATAAAACCAAGAACGGCGGAAAACCTGTCTGCTTTGCAGATTTTGCTATAATGCATATAGCGTATGTACGCCTCGTATAATATATGTACGCCGCATATAGTATGTACACCGGATATAGAGTATGTACGTATGTTACCGTGACGAATTTCCACAAGCATAGCACGACGGTGATTACGTGTGTTGGCAAATTTTGCCAACACAAAGTTGCCTTCCTGCAGCTTCATCTCCACATTAACAAAGGACGGATCGATTTTAACATTCGTCATAGGTTCCACACTTACTGCCGCCTTCGCGTCTTCGTACCAATAGATAACTCCATAATGTGACCTTTCCGATTTCGCCGCCATGGCGGATAGTAAGAAAAAAAATGTGACGAAGCACAGACTGAAAAGTATGCAGTCTGCAACGAACTGTGCAGTACGATATCTCTCGGATATAATGAGCATTTTCGCTGGCACGCAGTCAATCCGATATAAAAGGCAATCGATGGAAAACGGTGATGCGATAAACAATGGAAAAATTTGTCAGTAACCTGTTGGACAGGCTTTGTCTAAGATATAGGCCGAACAAGTTAGACAGGCGTTCCCAGAGAAATGCTGTCCATACGGTCTAAAGGTTTCTCTTCAAACAAATTGGACATAGACG